GCACGTGCAGAATATTACATAAATTAAAATAGATATAAAATATAGTATTTTAAAGCTATTTATTTTTCAGAATACGCAAAACAGAATAAAATAGACTGTTTTAAACCTATTGCACATTTTTAAAAATGCCACATTTTTCAAATAGGGATAAAATATACTATTTTAAACCTATTAATTTACTTTCCCTAATTTGCAAAATATAATAAAATACACTATTTTAATCCTATTTTACATTTACAGGAATTCAGGATTACAATTTGCAGATATGTATAAAATAGTCTATTTAAATTAAAACATTCTGAATTTTCCTACTTAGCAAAATGAAATAAAATAGAACCGTATTTTATAGTTACCCAGATAAGGGACCAATCATTAATAATGGAAGGGGGGTGAGGGGCGGAGGGTGAGAAAAGGGGGAGGCTTCAACTGTTGCCTACACTGGTCATCCCATGCAGTGCTTCCACTTGCAAGGAAATTTCTTTGCAAAAAGAAATAAAATTTACTAGGAAACGGCAAGGAATTTTGTTTTCAGCAAGGAAATAAGGATATTATGTTATTTCTAATAAATCCTAAGATTATAGCAATTCCCAAGCAAATTCGCGTCAGGAAATGTCAAAAATCCAAATCCTACTCGTGGGGAATGGAAAATCTGAAAAATTTCTGAGACATGACCTCAAGCCTCCTGTTGCAGTTTTTTATAATTAATTTATAATTTATAATTGCAAGGTTCATGGTGTTTCTCACCCGAGAAATACACCGTCGTTCAGGATAAATTATTGTAATATCGGTTTTAAACTAGGTAAAATTCATCTTCATCAAAGGAATTTTTGTCAAAAATAAGGACATTTTGAGCAGTTGGGAAGGAAATTATTTTTTGAAAGTGGAAGTGGAAGCACTGAATTTACACCCCGCCATTTTTTATAATCAGTTCGTGATTTCGAAGTTACAATATTTCGCTCGATATTTCGAGCCGATGAAGCCTTATTAACCGTGAATAAGCGAAGATGAAACATCAGGGATGATTGAGTAATATCCAGGTAAGAATCTTGTTATGTTTTATGTATAATAGAGCAATTTTGAAAGGAAATATTTGCTATCTTCATTCGTGAATTTTGAGAATGCACGTGTTTGATGACCTTTGATGTTTCGGCTTAAAAATTATTTGAATTTGCCGAGCCGATGAAGCCTTAATAAGCGAAGATGAAACATCAGGGATGACTGAGTAATATTCAGCTAAGAATCTTGTTATGTTTTATGTATAATAGAGCAATTTTGAAAGGAAATATTTTCTACTTCAATCTTCATTCCTGAATTTTGAGAATGCACGTGCTTGATGTTTCGGCTTAAAATTTGAATTTGCCGCGACAATATTTAAAACGATGATATAAATAGTTTAATTCAAAGCTTACATTTGACTCCTGAAGTCTTTATATTAAATTATGTTTATTTTATTAACTAATGCCAAATAGTTAATAGTTGTGTATTGCCAGATTCCAGTGGCAGTGTTTCTTGTATCAAAATTAATATATTATAGCTTGGCATCTACTCAAGTTTCAATCCTCAATTCTTTATATGCTTATAAATACCTAGACATATCCCAGCTAAATGTGCATGTCTCAGTTACATAATAGTCATAGAATAAAAGTTATTCTGAATAAGGAGTGCATTAATAATATAGTAATTAACTTTAAATTAACTCAAAGTTTATAATATATGAATACATTTATCTATACCACCTGCATGATCTGCTTAATAATATATGTAACAACCTTTGGGCTACATTTTATATATCTTTAGACACAACCCGGCAAGTCACGACAAGGGTGAAATTACCCATTTCACTCCGAAGTGCCCAATTTTCAGCAGTTTGTTAATATTTAAATGTTTCTGTATCTTGCCTAATGTTGGACAATTTTATTTGCCAAGGAAAGTATCCAGCTAGGCTCATGATGTTTCATGCCCATGATGTTTCATGTTGACATATTTAGATGTAATTTTCCTCCTCCCTACTTTAAGTTCTGCACACAATATTTAACTGTGTGGTCTCAAGCTAGACAATTTTGCTTATCGACTGTGGTCTGCTTGCCCATTTTTCACCTTTTAATACTGACAATTAAGCTGACATGTATTGGCAATAACTGCTTGATCTGCAAGATGCTTGGTGGTATGGGTCTAACTGCTAGTAGACTACAAGACTGCTCATCCTGCAATTGATTGGAAACCCAATCGTGTAATAGATTCCTTACAGTTACTCAAACGTTGGTAACTCTGACTGTGGTAAACAAGGCCATTGATTTGACACTGCTTAAACTGCCACATTCACCCCTGCCGCTGTTAAACTGTCACAACCTAGCATTGACAGCTAATAAGAATACAAATTGTTTTATGTGTATTATTTTATACAATTTTAAACGATAATATACCTGTCAAGCATGGTACTGCATTGCTAGTTTTCAGCTAATTTGATATTATTTCATTACTATTTTTTAACTGGTTTTAATTATCATACTACAATTTTATTACTTTATAAAGTAACTATGCTGCAGTGCTACTATTTTTATATACTATTAGGTATTTTATTGTTATTTTATAACTATTTTATTGCTACATTCTGACTATTTTATTGCTATTTTATGACTATTTTACTATTCTTTTATTGCTATTTTATAATTATTTTATTACTACTTTCTGACTATTTTATAATTATTTTATTAATCATTCTAGAACTGTTGTGACTCTCGACTATTTTATTACAATTTTATTACTATTTTTATACTGTTTTATAAGAATTTTGAAGTATTTTTTACTATTTTGTTCGCTATTTTATCACTATTTTAAATTCTACTATTTTATCAGTATTTTATTCATATTTTTAAACTATTTTATTACTATTTTTGCAGTAATTTTATTACTATTTTTAGTTAATATACTGCAGTTGATCCACTATTTTATATGTATTTTCGACTATTTTTAACCTATTTTAAGTATATTTAAAATCTATTTTATTACCAATATTTCACTTTACTTTATTATTTTATTTCTATTTTGCACTCTATTTTAAATATATTTTATCCTATTTTAAACCTATTCAAATCTGTGCTTCACCGATTCAGAAAAATAAAATTTATTTAAAATAGGTTTTTTTGAAACAAAAATAGCCTATTTATAATAGCCATAAAATACAATTAAAACAGAGTTCTAATAGGTTTAATATAGGATTTGTATATGTGATAGCAATATGATAGGGTTAAAAATAAAATAGCTTTTCTATAGGAATAAAATAGAAAGTAAAATAGGGTTAAAATAGTGTTGATTTTCGCAAGGGTGCGGTTTACTATCACCATTACTTGGTGCTGAATCCTCAAACGTTATGGAGGTTTACTGCATGGGGGTGCCTCTTTCTGGTTGCTTTTGGCGAGGCATGGAAACTGGAATAGTGGGCGAGAAAATCCTGTTTTAAAGTGCACGAAAAAATCATGGAATTATTTTTCAAGCACAAGCAGATGCAGCTAGAAAGAGCATGTTAAAATTAGTAAAATTGCAAAGTTTGGTTGCGAAATGTTGTAAAATGTGGAAATAGCCCTGCGAAATTTGAAAATTTTGTACTAATTTGCATTACGCAAGGGAAAATGCACCACTTTTGGCCCAAATGTGTATAGGACATAGAATGAAGAGAATTTCACATTATTTTCTCACGCTCATAAATGCTGGTTGACCGCCATCCCCTGTGCAATGATGTAGAAATATGATAAAAAGCTTACTGTTAATTCAAAGTTACGCGTAGACAAGTTAGCTAAAACATTCCTTATTTATTCAGGAACTTTTCAAGAAGTTTGGAGGAATAAAAAGTGTATCTGTTCACTACGACGCCTCTGGGAGGTCCCAGGGAACTGCGGAGGTAGTTTATCACAAACGTGATGACGCGTTCAACGCAATGGAATATAATGGTGTGCATATTAAAGGTTCGTTTTTTATTTGTAATTTTGTGACTTCTTTTTAACTCTGTTATAAAAATGTCAATACATTTGTTATAAAATTAATGTGTGTATGTCATGTAGGCATGCCCATGAAAATTGAATTGATGTCACTGGAGGTAAATTCTACACAAAAGAAACTTTTAGGTTTGTAGGTATGAGATCTTTTTACATCAACAAAAGTAGATGGCTGCCATGTTGGAGTTTCCCACTCGCTAATAAATGCTTAAAAAACAACAATAACTTTCATCATTTGAATAGTTTGAAAATGTATTTGGAATGGGTTTAACTTATAATAGTTTTGTTTGTGGAAACACCACGTAAGTTTATTACTGCAAAGCTTTCGATCCGCAAGCATTATTATTAGCACTGAATATGAAGATCCGGGCTTACGGATCGAAATCTTTGCAGTAATAAATTTACGTGGTGTTTCCACAAACAAAATTATTATATATTTAATCGCCGTGCAATCATACAAAAAACTTAGGTTTAACTTAATGTTTAAGTTCCCTGTCTACGAAATACTGTAGAAAACATACGAATCTTCTCATTTCATAGGAATATCCTGAGCCTGCAATCACGGCTTCAATTTTTGAATTGCAGAATAATTAGATGCACTATCTAGTGTATATAAGATATCTATGCTCTCACTGGACCTCCAGGAAGAACAGTCTAGATATACCCAACACGGCAATCTATTCAACAACTGTTTTACTTCTGTAGGTAAATATGAAAATTTGCCTGTTGGAGCAAACATATATAAGATATGTATGGTCCGTGGTCACAGCGGATGCGGTTTTGGACCCCTCGTCCAAATCTTCCAGCAGATACATGGTTTATATAAGGGTTTTGTATATTCAAGTGTACACTTTTGTAGATCACTAGCAATCTATGTGGTTTTTAATAAGAGGCGGTAGAGCTACTTATAGTCATACTGTATATTCTTCCTGTTTACGGGTGTAAAATGTGGAAGGTGTGTTAATGTACTTTGCGTTGAAAAAAATTGAGTTTGTCCATTTTTCCCAGATTCATGCTACAGCCGATCTTTCCCCAAGGACTTGCTGATGTCGTTTCTTCCCTTGGTGGCAATCGAAGCACTGTCTCGGTGCTCAAAAGGCTGCAACGTTCGATAATGATACCTATACGAAAGGACGATTTAAGATTCTTTGTAACTTTATGTCATATGCTGGATTTGTTGAAAAACCTTCTTTTCATCTTAGCTTAAGGATAAGATCTTTTTGCAGATTGCACCCACGACGTGCATCAATCCATCTGTCCGTGTCACACCGAGCAATGCGGAGGAGTGGATCCCAGGTTTTGCCATCCGCAAAACTGCTTTCGAGTCGTATTATTTATTCTTGCATCTTTTATATAGTTCATGTAAAGGCATGTAAAAATATAAAATCACTATTACGTTGTCCAGTATGTAGTCCGTAATATGTCGTGTGGATGAACTTAGTATCCAATCCTTCTATCATAGCTGTATTTTTATATAATATGATTGTGAAGCTAATAAACAGGCCACTGCAACTCATTGTACACTCCCTACGCTGGACCCCACACGGAAAGCTGAAAAAAAGTCGAGAAATTAAAAGAAGATCTACATAAAGCAGTTTGTCAGAAAGTTGTGCTGTCTCAGAAACTGGAAGAGTGGGAGGTTCTGTTGTCCAATCTTTTAATCACAGCTGTATGTGTATTTTATATAATAAGATTGTAAATCTCATAAAAAGACACAGGCCACTGCAGCTCATTGTAGAGTCCCTACACTGGACCCAACGTTTGAAATATCTAATAGAAATGAATTTATTTTTCCAACACAGTGCTGTTCAAGAGCTACGGAAAGCAAGGGAGGATATCGAACAACTGGAGATGAAACTGTTGAGAGCAGTCTCACAGAAAGTGGAATTATCCAAGAAACTGGAACAATGGGAGGTTCATCAGGTTTTGTTTTCATGTTTAAAAATATCTAAATGATGTTTTCAATTGAACAACCGATGTTTTTGTCAACAGGGACGTCAGATTGCAGACCGGATCAAAAACTGTGTTTGCATAAGTTTGTCCTAAATCTTCAACATAAGATTTTTGAAACAAGCAGTGTGAACACATCTTGTTGACAAGCTGTAAGATTTTTATCTATATATGGAGTTGTTTTCTTTACTGTAGGACGATATGGCGTCTGTGATAGACGAAAAAGTAAAAAAAATATGAACAGCAACAAAGATGGCGGCGAAAGCAAGACAACAAAAATACAGGATGTTTTTAAAAGATGGAGGTAGACTAAAATAAAAAAATAGAAAAATCTAGTTTATTTAATTATTTATTATTAAGATACTTAGAAATTTGATATTTAATAAAAACTTTGGCTGTTTGATTTCATGTAACGTAAAAACTATAAAAGCTACTACACTCAAATAAATTTTATTTCATTCAGAAAAGGACCCCTTGTACAAATCTTCTAGCAGATACATAGTTTATATACTGTGATTTATTTTTAGAATGCGTAACCTCACAGCCCTTGAACTGGCCCAAATACCTTGATTGTCAATGGAATGATGAAGATATGAATCAGATATGAATTTTTATCTAGACTTGTCTAGATCAAAGGAAATAGGTCCATTAAATTGGGGGTAAATGTACGAAAAAGTCTTCAAAACACCAGTTCGTTTTTTGCCCGGCGAACTGCTGAGTTTTGCCCGAGAAAACTGTCCATTTGAAACTTTGGGGGGGGGGGGGCAACCACCACAGGGTTTACGCCCTTCTTTTTCATTTTATTTTTTACGACTTGAAAATATTGCAACATACTTTGCAAAAACTAGAAATTTTAAGAAAATTGAATCAAAACCTGACATTTGTGATGTTACTTATTCTTGGCCTTAAAAATGTGTTTTTTTTACTTTTTACAGGGATATATATATATGCCAGACGGAAAAATGCAAGAATCACTTACACCAAATCGATGACAGTACACGATTATCTCAATGCAACGCTTGTAAACCCGGTTGTGCACGAACAAATTCTCAAACATTTTCCGAAGTTGGAGCGAGTGTTATCCGACCATACCTGTCGCTTGATTGATCAGATCAGTGACTTTGATCTGGATGTCTTCGAAGTGTCAGATGGGTGCGCATTCCGAATTTCTGCAACAGCATTTTTCGAATACGAAGAGGAAGACTTTCGTGGAAAGTCTGCACGCGCATTTGTGCCTTATGATTATCTTTCACCGCCCGATCCTGGCGTTTTCGCAGAAGGAGTTTTTATCTACACTTGTCTAGAGCAAAGGGAATAGGTCCATTAAATTGGGGGTAAATGAACGAAAAAGTATCTGGTAATGTTAGTGAAAGTCTCTTCATTTATTTTTAGAATGCGTAACATCACAGCACTCGAATTATCGAAAATTCCTTGAGTGATGTCCTGCAACTGACCCAAATGCCATGAAGCCCTTGAACTGGCCCAAATACCTCGATTGTCAATGGAGTGATGAAGATATGAATCAGATATAAATTTTTATCTAGACTTGTCTAGATCAAAGGGAATAGGTCCATTAAATCTATTCAACAACTGTTTTGCTTCTGTAGGTAAAATATGAAAATTTACGTGTTGGAGCAAACATATATAAGATATGTATGGTCCGTTGTCACAGCGGATGCGGATTTGGACCCCTCGTCCAAATCTTCCAGCAGATACATGGTTTATATAAGGGTTTTGTATATTCAAGTGTACACTTTTGTAGATCACTAGCAATCTATGTGGCTTTTAATAAGAGTTTATAGAATTCCTTACTCAGGGTTTCATTGTAATCGCATTTCAATGTAAGAAAAAGGGGACGGTAGAGCTACTTATAGTTATATATTCTTCCTGTTTACGGGTGTAAAATGTGGAAGGTGTGTTAATGTATTTTGGGTTGAAAAAAATCGAGTTTGTCCATTTTTCCCAGATTCATGCTACAGCCGATCTTTCCCCAAGGACTGCTGATGTCGTTTCTTCCCTTGGTGGCAATCGAAGCACTGTCTCGGTGCTCAAAAGGCTGCAACGTTCGATAATGGTACGCATACGAAAGGACGATTTAAGATTCTTTGCAACTTTATGTCATATGCTGGATTTGTTGAAAAACTTCCTTTTCATCTTAGCTTAAGGATAAGATCTTTTTGCAGATTGCACCCACGACGTGCATCAATCCATCTGTCCGTGTCACACCGAGCAATGCGGAGGAGTGGATCCCAGGTTTTGCCATCCGCAAAACTGCTTTCGAGTCGTATTATTTATTCTTGCATCTTTTATATAGTTCATGTAAAGGCATGTAAAAATATAAAATCACTATTACGTTGTCCAGTATGTAGTCCGTAATATGTCGTGTGGATGAACTTAGTATCCAATCCTTCAATCATAGCTGTATTTTTATATAATATGATTGTGAAGTTAATAAAAAGGAACAAGCCACTGCAACTCATTGTACACTCCCTACGCTGGACCCCACACGGAAAGCTAGAAAAGAAGTCGAGAAATTAAAAGAAGATCTACATAAAGCAGTGTGTCAGGAAGTTGTGCTGTCTCAGAAACTGGAAGAGTGGGAGGTTCTGTTGTCCAATCTTTTAATCACAGCTGTATGTGTATTTTATATAATAAGATTGTAAAGCTAATAAAAAGACGCAGCCACTGCAGCTCATTGTAGAGTCCCTACACTGGACCCAACGTTTGAAATATCTAATAGAAATGAATTTATTTTTCCAACACAGTGCTGTTCCAGAGCTACGGAAAGCAAGGGAGGATATCGAACAACTGGAGATGAAACTGTTGAGAGCAGTCTCACAGAAAGTGGAATTATCCAAGAAACTGGAGCAATGGGAGGTTCATCAGGTTTTGTTTTCATGTTTAAAAATATCTTAATGATGTTTTCAATTGAACAACCGATGTTTTTGTCAACAGGGACGTCAGATTGCAGACCGGATCAAAAACTGTGTTTGCATAAGTTTGTCTTAAATCTTCAACATAAGATTTTTGAAACAAGCAGTGTGAACACATCTTGTTGACAAGCTGTAAGATTTTTATCTATATATGGAGTTGTTTTCTTTACTGTAGGACGATATGGCGTCTGTGATAGACGAAAAAGTAAAAAAAAATATGAACAGCAACAAAGATGGCGGCGAAAGCAAGACAACAAAAATACATGGAGATAAAAATAAAAGATGGAGGTAGACTAAAATAAAAAAATAGAAAAATCTAGTTTATTTAATTTTGTATCATTAAGATACTTAGAAATTTGATATTTAATAAAAACTTGCGCTGTTTGATTTCATGTAGCGTAGTAACTATAAAAGCTACTACACTCAAATAAATTTTATTTTATTCAGAAAAGGACCCCTTGTACAAATCTTCTAGCAGATACGTAGTTTATATACTGTGATTTATTTTTAGAATGCGTAACCTCTCAGCCCTTGAACTGGCCCAAATACCTTGATTGTCAATGGAATGATGAAGATATGAATCAGATATGAATTTTTATCTAGACTTGTCTAGATCAAAGGGAATAGGTCCATTTAAATTGGGGTAAATGAACGAAAAAGTATCTGGTAATGTTAGTGAAAGTCTCTTTATTTATTCTTAGCATGCGTAACCTCACGGCCCGGGAACTGGCTGAAATTTAATTCATTGGTCAATGCGGGTGATGAAGGAAGAAGCGTGTTGAGAAAGGCAGATATGCGATATGAATTTTTATCTAGACTTGGCTAGATCAAAGGGAATAGGTCCATTAAATTGGGAGTAAATGAACGAAAAAGTCTTCAAAACCCCCGTTCGTTTTTTGTCCGGCGAACTACTGAGTTTTGCCCGAGAAAACTGTCCATTTGAAACTTTGCGGGGGGGGAGCCAACCACAACAGGATTTACGCCCGTCTTTGTCATTTTATTTTTTACGACTTGAAAATATTGCAACATACTTTGCAATTAAAATATTGCAACATACTTTGCAAAAAAATTGAATCAAAACCTGACGTTTGTGATGTTACTTATTCTCAGCCTTAAAAATGTGTTTTTACTTTTTACAGGGAGATGTGTATGGAAGACCAAACAACTCGAAAATTACATACACCGAAACGTCGACAGTCCGCCAATATCTGAACGAACTGGTTGACACCGATGTTGTTCGTGAACAAATCTTAAAACATCGTCCGAAGTCGGAACGACTTTTATCAGACTATCGCAATCCCTTGGTTGAGAAGATCAGTGACTTTGACCGTGATGTCATCAAAGTGTCAGATGGGTGCGCATTCCGAATTTCTGCAAGAGCATTTTTCGATTATGAAGAGGAAGACTTTCGTGGAAAGTTTGCACGCGTATTTGTGCCGTATGATTGTCTTTCACCGCCCGATCCTGGCGTTTTCGCAGAAGGAATTTTTATCTACACTTGTCTAGATCAAAGGGAATAGGTCCATTAAATTGGGGGTAAATGAACGAAAAAGTATCTGGTAATGATAGTGAAAGTCTCTTCATTTATTTTTAGAATGCGTAACATCACAGCACTAGCTCGAATTATCGAAAATTCCTTGAGTGATGTCCTGGAACTGACCCAAATGCCACAAAGCCCTTGAACTGGCCCAAATACCTCGATTGTCAATGGAGTGATGAAGATATGAATCAGATATGAATTTTTATCTAGACTTGTCTAGATCAAAGGGAGTAGGTCCATTAAATTGGGGGTAAATGAACGAAAAAGTTGAATCAAAACCTGACCTTTGTGATGTTACTTATTCTTGGCCTTAAAAAATGTGTGCTTTTACTTTTTACAGGGATATATATATATATATATATATATATATATATATATATATGCCAGACGGAAAAATGCAAAAATCACTTACACCAAATCGATGACAGTACATGATTATCTCAATGCAATACTTGTAAACCCGGTTGTGCGCGAACAAATTCTCAAACATTTTCCGAAGTTGGAGCGAGTCTTATCCGACCATACCTGTCGCTTAATTGATCAGATCAGTAACTTTGACCTGGATGTCATCGAAGTGTCAGATGAGTGCGCATTCCGAATTTCTGCAAGAGCATTTTTCGAATACGAAGAGGAAGACTTTTGTGGAAAGTCTGCACACGCATTTGTGCCGTATGATTGTCTTTCACCGCCCGATCCTGGCGTTTTCGCAGAAGGAATTTTTATCTAGACTTGTCTAGATCAAAAGGAATAGGTCCATTAAATTGGGGGTAAATGAACGAAAAAGTATCTGGTAATGTTTTAGTGAAAGTCTCTTCATTTATTTTTAGAATGCTAGATCAATCAAGGGGAATAGGTCCATTAAATTGGGGTAAATGCCCAGAACCTGAAATGGAAACCTTTTAGTGAACGCAGAACACATTTCGTAGCAAGTCTTATGTATAAAATAACTCGGGAACTGGCGCCAAAACGAATAACCAACATTTTCCAAAGGACGTCTTCCTTTTATTACTATAATATGCGAGGCTCTTCCACCGAACTCTTTTTGCCCAAACCTACGACTGAATATCTTAAAAAAAGTCTTAGTTATAGAGGAGCTAAATTGTGGAACAGCCTTTCTGATGAAGCAAGAAACAAACACACTCTTGCTTCGTTTAATTCATGTATACGACACCTGGCCAATTAATTAATTAATTAATTAATTAATTAATTAATTACGTTAATTAAAAATATTGCACAGTACTAACATTAATTTAATATGTAAATAATTATATACTCATTGCATTTGTAAATGTATTGTAATTGTTGTTAACTGTAATGTAATGTATGACCTAGCCTCCTCCGCAGGCATCTCGTAGTTCACGTACTTCAGAAAGTCGATGAGATGCCTGCCAAAACCCGACATGGTTCAGCCGTTCTGCGCATCTTGCTTGCGCAGCGATTTCGTCTCTAGGGTATGCACGTCATCCAAGATGGCGGATTGCATGGAGTGAAGAATTATGAAAATTAGTGAATTTATATTAATACGCTCGCTAAAGGCGGCTAAACGATTAAGAATACAGCTTTTGTGGACAATTGAAAGAATCTTAACCCGGAAATTAAAATTGTCATCAAATAATTTACATGTTGTCATTTGACATATATTTTTGTATATCTGTAAATGGAAAACATCAAGGTTGACGTATATTTTTGTATAAGCTGTAGATAGAAATCTTGTTGTAATCTTTTAAGCACTATAAAGATAGACTTTGTGTTAACATCACAATGAAATGCATTTAATTTCATATAATATTTTTTTGGATCAATTATAGTTGTTTTGTGTTTTAAATAATTGTTAATGTCTGGCTGGCATAATTATTTAAAATAGTACAATTATCATGTACAGTTAGTTCAATCTGTCTGTTCATGGTTGTTAGAAGCAGGACAAAATTACCCTACATATGATGTGTAGAAATGTAAAAAGATAAAACACATTTCAGCTTGATAATTGTGGACCCATTATTAATTGAAACCAAGCACTGTGAACCAAGGCAAGAGCCAGATTGATTTGAGTGAAAAAGCCTTGGTCTGGTGTTTGGTTGTCAGATTGGCCGAGTATGCCAATCAGTGAAGGAACGCCACTGCCTAAAGTCTAAAATTAGCTGGGTTCACTTACTATATTCACTATCGTTGCTACCGGGGTGTGGCAAGCCTTGCTTATTTTGGTCGAAAAATTTATAAATATGCTTATATTAGTCTGGAAATTTTTTTTACCCCCTGTCGACAACATTTCCGGGTTTACGACATGGTCAAAATTTTATTAAATATTGATCAAAACATGACGACCCCCCCCCCCAATGTTGATGCCTTAGTGACGCCCCTACTTACTATACTATGTCTTGTTCATGTGTGCACTAGTGTCCAGTACCTGCATGGTGTGAATTGCATTGTACAATCCAGCAGTTAAACAATAACATGGTAGATGATTATAATAATAATTTTTTAATTTTTTTTAATCCAAATGAAGATGTTGAATTGTCAGGATTTCTATGCAAGAAACTAGGTGCTATTTTGCATGTCTGAGATGGAGACTAAGTTGCTGCATCCTAGAAAGTGTGAACAGCAAGGTTTACATTGTACAATTAGCAGCTTCAAGGCTACAACACATGGACAAGCAACCATTGTCAATGACAACATTGATCAAGCATGTCATAACCTGCCAGATAAAATAGTGACATAATTGAACATGGCCAGCATTCTGTTCTGCTGACAACTTCTTTATAATATAACATGTTTTTAATGGATGAAAATGGGATAAAAAAATAAAAGTAGTGGAAACTGTTGTCTATGCTCACAATTTCCCTGTGACTTATTTTTAAATCACATCGCCTTTTATCAGGAATTGCATTGCAAGTTGCAGATTTACTAGAGGGGGGTGCACCCTCCAAGCCCTGACAGGAGAGGGTGAAGGGGATGCTTTTTTCATGATAAAGCAAAAAATAATAGAGACAAAATGAGATACAGTAATTTGAGCAATAACATGATGATAAGCAAACTGTGAACAACAATTCAAATTCCAATGTAGTATCACCAGAGCTTCAGTGGCGCCGCCAGCTCGATAATTGGGAAGGGGGCGAATATTCATATCTTTGTGTTCTGCATTATTAACTTCTTTTGAAATTGATTGTTTTTATGCTCTGTGAACACAATATATGAATATTTGCCCCCCCCCCCCAATTATCGAGCTGGCGGCACCACTGCAGAGCAGCCCCCTACCAGATCATGCTGGATCGATCCCTGTATTATTTTATTTACACATGGAGGTGTATCTCTTTTGGTGGCGTAAAGGCATGTTTCTTGACACAAGTGACAATCCAAATTTTTAGATGGCTGTTTAAAATTTTAGTCAGCTGGATGGCAGGCTGGTCAATACCATTTGTATTTGTATTTGTATTTAAGAAAGAACCTCTGTTAGCTAACGCTAGTTTACACGAGGTCTTAAAAATAGGATTACCCTACAAGATAAAAAGTCTATAAATCTAGTTATTCTTAAAAATTACTAAAATACGTTAAAAGTTCAAATAGTTAATAATAATTATATGAACCAGTCTAGCTGTTTAAGAACAGCAGACTTAAACATGGATTTGGAAGATATGATTTTTAGAGTATAGTCTAAATTGTTCCATAGACGGATAGCTCTGGTCCTAAAAGCCCGAGCTAAAAAGGTTTTCTTCTTTAACATAGGTTTCTCTAACAACATATTATCACTTCGACACCTCGACGAAAATCTAGTATTGTGTTCATGAGTAATTTCAAATGGTTTAAAATTCACGTAAATTGCATTTGGTTCACCAGAATAAAGTACATTATGCAATGCCATTAAGGTTCTGACATGAATCCTTTGTCTCACTGTTAACCAACCTATTTCATCATGGAGATTTTCCCTAGATATTTCATCAACCTTATATCCTAGGATCAATCTGGCGGCCTTGTTCTGAAGTTTTTGTAAATTATTAATCGACTCTTGATTTTGCGCAGATCCCCAAACCGTACAACAATAGTTCAATTTTGACAGTATGAGTGCCTCAGCGATAATCTTTAAAACTTTTGATGGAATATATCTGCTGAACTTGAACAGTAAGCCAAGAGCTTTGGAACAATCTTTAAGTAGATCTTCACAATGCTGCTTCCAACTTAAGTTCTCGTCAACCTGGACGCCAAGGAGTTTTACACATGGAAGTTGTTCAATGATTTTATCTTTAATGCATAAGTTAAGCGATGGAGCTGATTTAATCTTCTGCCGACTTCCAATAAGGATACTATTTGTTTTATCAGCATTAAGAACAAGACGATTCTTCGAGACCCATAATTCAACTTTAGATAAGTCAAATTGAAGTTTATCTGATATGAGTCTGGCGTTATGTCCAGATTGGAACGGAGTGCTATCATCGGCGTACAAGGTGATATCAGCTGTAGTTAAGACTGTTGGTAAATCATTAACAAACAAACTGAAGAGCAGTGGGCCAAGACAACTACCCTGTGGCACCCCACAAGTCATCTCGATCGGATTAGAAAAAGCACCATTGATATATACGGTTGAGGTTCTCCCACTTAAATACGACTTGATCCAGTTAATCGCATTATCTGAAAAGTCATAACATTTCAATTTCAGAAGCAGCAAATTATGATCAATCAGGTCGAAAGCAGCTGAAAAGTCCAACAAAGCAGCACCAGTAAGCATACCATTCTCCATGTTGTCAAGGCAACTGTCAGTCAGATGTAAAAGAGCTGATTCAGTGCTATGATTGATTCTATATGCATGTTGATTCTTGAGCATTAAGTTATGTTCGGAGACATAGTGACAGATTTGTTTATGCGCAAATTTTTCGTGCAGTTTACTTAATACATTTAGAAGACTGATGGGTCGACTATTTATATCTTCAAAAGGCTGTTTCTTATCTTTGGGAATCGGGTGTAGTTTAGCTACTTTCCATTGATCAGGAAATATTGACTTCGCATATGAACAGTTAAAAATGTATCTAATAGGTTCCGCAATGATATTCGACGCAATTCTAAGTAAAAAATTATCAATGCCATCTACGCCTGTCACTTTAGTATCTGGAAGCTTAGCAAGGCAGCTGTGAACTTCTAAAAGACTTAAAGATGAGAAACTCAAACCGACAGTTTTTTCCAGTCATTAGTTCGGTAATTGATTTAGTTACATACTACGTATCTATCGGGTTGGACATCTCAAATCTATATTTCTTTATTTTTTCATTAAAGAACTTTGCGAAATGATTGGCAATATCTTTAGGTTTTGTGTAAATTTCACCATTACTCTCTGCATAAGTTGGTATTGGACAATTTGAGCGTCCTAACAGATTGTTTATTGTTTTCCACATTGACTTTGGATCTTTTTTGGTATTATTAATAGCTTCAAGAAAATATGCTCTTTTGCTTTCTCTGTTGACCTTAACGACATGGTTTCTCAATTTCCTATAAACCGCTCAGTCAGAAGGAAAACCAGAGACCTTCGCCTCACGTTTTGCTGCATCTCTCATCAACATTAAGTCGCGAATATTTTGAGTTATCCAAGGAGCGGGTTTTGATTTAACTGTTCTTAAATAATTTTAAGAACCCTAAAAATTCCAGGAAGACCGCATTCTGGCCCTAATTAGATGGTTGCCAAATCATGAACCATTTGTTAATAACTTTTCAGATTATTTTATCGTCCAAATAACTTTTCAGATCATTTTAAGAGATCATTTTATCGTCCAAACACAGCTTAATATACTGAATATTGAAATTGCATTTACTTTATAAAGTAACTTAATTTCTTACAGAGGTTACCCTTGCAGCGGGTTCGTATGTCTCGTTCGCTGGTGTAACAGAGATATTATATTACAAGAATTCTGAGAATCGCGTATATAGTTTAGATGGTGGGTGGAATATTCCAGCTGATCTTAATACTGATGAAATACTGCCATATCATACGACAAAACCTAATGGAGCATCAGTACTTGTTCCTGGATTTTTTGCGGGTATGTATAGTAATCCATTCCCGGCTTCCCAGTCAAGTCATTATCAGATATTTCTATATTTGTTGGTGACTAATATAATTTTATCTGTTACAAGGGCGCGCCGCGGCGGAACCAGGGGGACACGGGGCACTGGCCATTGATTTTGTTCCCTCCCCCCAATATCTTTATTAAATAAATAGACCTCAGACATTTTCTGCCAGACTCTGAGGAAACGTTGTAATTCACTCGATTTATACGAGACTGCAACTCAAACTATATTATGCTCTGTCATACCTAAAATATTAGAGAGTTTGAGCAAGAGAACAAATTACGACAACGATTGACGACGTGCTTGACAACTTTAATTTGTCCGTGCGCATTGTCTTGCGCATGCTGAGTTTGGAGTCAGTATGCAGTGGTTGTTCAATAAAGACAGGGTAAAGATTCATGTCTAATCCTTACCTCCACCAAACAACAAGACATGTACCCGTCTAGCTTCGTTGTGCTGCCCACATTAAGAACGAATATTTTTTTGTAAAATTCGAACGAATTAGGCAGAAAAACAAAGACGGAATAGAGCTGAAATTCAAGTCTTAATTGCTGTTTTGTCTGGGTCAGGGTCAGGGTCAGGGTCAGGGTAAGGATTATGGTCACTATTCATAAATATTGAGACATGAATCTATAATGAGAAATGACCCCAAACTCAGTGTGCGCAAGATAATGTTCAGAGGGGAAAAAATTGTCAAGCATGTCTTCGTATTTGAGTACGTAATACTGTATGCATTCTTCGTTGCCTTGCCCAAACTCTCTATTTTATGGAACAAGTAGACTCGCTTTAGCTGAAAGGTGGACTGATGGGAGAGTTGTTACCGCGATGTCACTTGTTTAAAAATGTAGTCAAGCGGTCAATCCTGGATAGGCTGGACTGTTACTCATATATACAGTCGCCAATGACCTTTAATATAGTTCGAAGTTTGTTCCTTATTAGGAATTGATGCAGCAGTCAAAGAATTGGCAAACTTCGATCTAAAAACATTGATGGAGCCTGCATTGTATTTTGCTGAAAATGGATTTCAACTACCTTATCTCTTAGCTGGATTGATTGCAACAAATTACAACGACATTACATTACTGAGGACTGAAGATGGTAAGCTTTTTGCTATGAACGTGCCGGAATATATATGATTTATGAATTATGTACTGCAGTACAGGAAATCACATGATACAACATTTTAAGAGCCCTTATGACAAGAAAAGACCCGTTCTTGGTATTCAGTGTGTAGTGTGTTTTATTTTGAAATATATCCACAACCCCCAGCGCTATAACGAAAAACCCCTCAATTCTGATTGACTAGTCTAAGGGTATAATGCATGCATTTTAAGTATAAAGCAACCTGCTCGCAGGCTATTCGATTCAGTGCCGAAAACCTAAGACATTGCAAAACGTGAGCAATTTATTTATTTTGCATGTGACTAAACGGGCCGGTGTACACTATTAGGCCTAACGTTTCTGTGATCACAGTAGGGATTTTGCATAGATAAATTCTATATGTTTTGAAGAATGTGTAAGAAATGTTTGAGTGACCTATGAGTGACGACCTGACTTAATCAGTTAGTAGCAATCAGTTTCCTGAAACATTTCTTACAAATCGTTCAAAACTTAAAATTTACGTAATATGATTATATGCAAATATCCCACTGTGTCGCAGAAACTTTGATAGTGTAAACCAGGTCTAATGCTGTTTAGATATATGAATTTGGTTTTGCATAATTTTTCATACTTATGACGCATTAGCATGATTGTTCGTTCTTCAATGTTCACGTCGTTCACGTGTAATTTTGAGATAAACTCCAAATTGGACTCGAAACTATACTATTATCCATACTTATTTGATAAAACGTACCAAGAGCGGGAGATTAGTCTCAAGCTCTTCTCTTTTTTAATTCTGTTGGTTTGCAGTTCAATTATAATGTCGTAATTGTACTTTGTCATGCAAGTTATTTTGTCATGCAAGTTATAAATTAGCTAACAGCAAGTTTGGAACATTAACTATTAGTATTTTTGCACAGGTGAACATACCAAATCCTAGCTACAAATTGATTGGTCAAATTTGACGTATTAAGCTGTTCTATTCACCTACAGGTGAATATAACAAAACCGAAACTTTCAAAATAGTGGCCAAGCCATTTTGTGGAAGTTACTGATAAAGAAATAAGCGAAATTAAAATAAATTCAGTCCCAAAAAACACAAAAGACTTGTGTAAAAATACTAAAACAATTATTCGCCTTATAGGTTCGGTGATTATCGGGGAGTATTCACCTCGACTTCGCCTCGGGGAATGTTTCCCGATAATCACCTCGCCTTCGGCGAATAATTGTTAATTATAAATAACTTTCTTATTATATTTGCTGTAATGCGGACAAGAAAAGGTTTTATTAATGCTAAACTTATTATTTTATTTACCAAATATTCAAATTAGGAAAGAACGTGTTTACAAACCCTGAGACTGGCAAATATTACAAGTTGGGTGAGATATTTAAACAACCGGATTTGTTAAAAGTTCTTCAATCCATTGCCAACAACGGAGTGGGCGAAATGTACAACGGAACCTGGGCACGAGATATGGTGTCACTTGTCAAGAAAGAAAATGGTGTTATGACCATGTCTGATATGAGTGCTTACACCGTTAACTGGAAGAATCCCATTAACACGACGTATTATGATTATTTAGCATCAACATCGGGTAGGTAGTGAACTTTCTCTGGTTTTCAGTGATAATTTTGTTCTTGAAAAAGTATGTAGGATATTACCAAGTCCATGCAAGAAGCCGGCAAACGTTTGGATATGCGTTTCGCATGAAAGTTCTTCCTGTATATACTGTTGAAATAGGGAAGAATTTCATGTTCTGTTTTTTCTAATTTTACGCTTTCCAAAAGTCTCGCAACATCCCGCGTGTATGGATGACGCTATCCTGCACGGATAACCATTTGGTATTCCTTTATTGGACCCCCAGTAAAAGTCCCTTTTGTCTAAAGTATAAGCAAAAAAAGAGAAGACTGACATCAGTCTTCCTTTCATCTCATATTACTAGAATTCACTCAATCACCGTGACCGTGCACACATTAACTTAAATTCAGACAAAAATATAACATAATGACTTCTGTTCAGTTTCTGGACCATCATATCTTGATAGACTATGCTACTAAGTAGGAAAGCAAATGTAGCTATAGGATACGTACGTGACAGATTTATATTTAGTTTCAGAGCAGAGTAACGACTAACTTGATGCGGTTTTACGTACTGATTTGTGTATACTGGAAATGCACTTTCCAGGCTTACACAACTTTCCAGGGTTTCCAGGTTTCCCACAAATTCAATTCATGATATGCAATCGCTCTGCGATCCCTGCCTAGTATAAATGAGTATAGATGAATACAGGTCATTTTTCCATGATGCTCCACTGACGAATTCTTAAAAAAGGCCCTGCACAGATTAGTTTAAGTAAAATTTGACATTTTTTGTTCATATGGAATACATAGACTAATATATGCCTTCGGGAAAAGCAATACAGGTTGATATCCAGTTGGAAGTCAGAGAAAAGTTTGCAACTTTAATCCGCCATAATTGTTACGATAGTTTCGTGACTAATATTATCTGTTCATATTTTTCGTGTCCAATTTACTGTTTTAAAGGAAAAGGTACATCCTTTAGGTGCACGTAAGATAAGATAAAAATCATCCTCACTTTAATTTGCCTTTTGGGTGGGTATGCGTACACTTTAAATGGCAAATGGCGACGACAACAACGTTCGCAATCTTCAGATTCTAGATCTGTACTTTTTTAAGGTTTTGGTAAACGACTGTCAAATCTAAACATGTGTTTATTTAATATGCTTTAGGTACTGACAAGGCTGGCTCAGGTGGTGTTGAGTTACTAGAGAAATTAAACATAATGGAACTTGCTGATCTTGGAAGTGGATCTTATCTTAGTAACTCGACCAAACTTTACTGGCTTGCTTCCATCATTCGCTTTAGTAATTTTATCTCACTATATTTACGTACTGTCCCAAATGCAGTAGATATTTTGCAGCGTGAATTTCAGTTGAATTTTTCACTTCAGAACAGAACATCCAAGGAATTTACTGATTCTATTTGGAATCAGATGAGTAAACCCGATGGAATGGATGATATCAATAAGAAAATTAAAAAGCTTCTTGGTAAGAATCGTTTTGAATAAAGTTCAAGTGGCCTATAGTGTTTCCAATTTCAAGAAAATTGTAGCTCAATAAGGCGTTTCTTCATGGGATGAGATATCATTTTGTTCCTCAGTGTCTTGTTCTCGACAGGTCGAGGAATGAGACTTGAAACTGTATGAAACTTGTAGTTGTACGCAAGCTAAACCCAAGGCAATGAAGACGGTAATGAATAGGGTAATTTTTACTACTGGTAGTAACAAATATGTTACTTTTCTTTGTGTGTAGGTGGTCATTCTTCACTTGCTACGAACTCAGCATCTCATTCTGATGGAGTGGTAGCGATGGATAAGGAGGGTAATGTGTGTTCAATGATACATACAATTAACAGTCTACCATGGGGTACTGGTTTGTTCGTTCATGGTATTGCACTTCCACATTCTGCTGCAATTAATAAAAATTATATAAAACAACTTAAGCCTGGCACTCGACTCAACTCGGAACTTCAACCTGCTATTGTATTCAGACGCGTTAATGAAGATAAAGTAAGAAATTTAGGTGGAAGTTTTAAGCCTGCAATGGCTATTTCTGTGGTCGGTTCCTCTCTCCGTGAAGTTACACCTCAGCTCCTAACTAGTGTGTTGGATGAAAACATGAATCCCAACCAAGCATTGTATCGACCACAGTTCATGTTACCGTCTCTAGGTAGTTATTGGCAAGATGTCCAAGTACAGCGTTGCACATTTGACCAGAATGTCTTACAAGATGCACGTAATAAAGGACAGTTGATAACAGAGATTGACGATAAAACATCACGGGGTTCCTATGGTCTTGGTGTGTTGATATATGTGGATAAAAATGGAGTTAGATATGCGGCATCAACACCTACATTAGACGGTATTGCCGAGAGTGAGGCATAGCTATACGCGTTATCATAAAACAGTTTTCTGTCAACTTTGCGAGTTCTATTTCAGAACCATCCTCAGAGATATAAAAAACTAGTTTCATATTATTTTGTGTGTGTTGTTGTTATGTACTCAGGTGAATATGATGTTTGTGATGTTACTCTGAGTGTGCATCCACACCGGGCAAGCTGAAAAGTTAGCTTGGCCACGGTGGGAATCGAACCGCGACCTTTGGGATACTAGTCCAATGCTCTGCCAACTGAGCTACGCGGTCAAGTCGGAGTTGATGATATTTCGGAACTGAGGCTATAGTTTCTTCGATATCAGTGTATTCTATGATATGATTATTTGTGTTTGTGTTATGTACTCAGGTGAATATGATGTTTCTGATGTTACTCTGAGTGTCCATCCACACCGGGCAAGCTGAAAAGTTAGCTAGCTGACTAGAAAAGCAAGCTGACTAGTATCCCAAAGGTCACGATTCGATTCCCACCGTGGCCAAGCTAGCTTTTCAGCTTGCCCGGTGTGGATGCACACTCAGAGTAACATCACAAACATCATATTCACCTGAGTACATAACACCAACACACACAAAAAGATCATATCGTAGAATACACTGATATCGAAGGAACTATAGACTCAGTTCCGAAATATCATCAACTCCAACCGACTTGACCACGTAGCTCAGGTGGCAGAGCATTGGACTAGTTTTATATTGTTTTGATACTGCAGTGTTCTTTTGAGCGGGATTCAAACTCGCACTTCGTGTTTCTAGACCGCCACACTACCCATTGAGCTATAGGCAATTCCAGCTTTTAGTTTATGCGTGCAGGGGACGATGGGAAGTAAGGTATCACATTGCTGATTATGCTAAAAAAATAAAAATGGTGGCCGTGTAAACACGGAGTGATAGCTTATACTTGTAAATATTGAAATATTTCGGTTGTTTCGGTAGTTTTTATTGAAATTTTTCAGCAAATCAGCAATATGATACCTTACTTCCCATCATCCCCTGCAGGCATAAACTAGAAGCTGGAATTGCCTATTGAGTCATCGGAGATGGGTATAGCGAGCCTTACCCAATTTAAGTGCACGAATTCTGATGCATATATCATGTCAGGAAGGTTTTATAGAGGAAACTTTCGAGTATGAATTTTATACATTTATATTAGATCTAACCAGGAGCAGTTGCGAAAAATGCAACTATAGCTAGGCCCTCTGGCAGGAATCGAACCTACGGTCCTGCGATTCCGATGCAGCTACAAAGTATCTTACATTTACCCATGACTCAGGCAGACAGACGTAGCCTAGCTAGAATTTTAAATGTGTACTGCATGGGATATTGAGCAACCATTATCGGGTATATTGGAATTCTGGTAACCCCCTGGCTGGGTTTAACTTATACCATACCTAGCGTTCCTTGTACCGACGGTGTCATTTAGCAGCAAAGAGTTATGTCACCCTCGTATAAAATATCTTTTATTTGTTGATATTGATTGACATTGATATAAAGATGTCATTATTCGGAGTACTGTTTATTATATTCTTTAGAATATACTGTTTATTATATTCTTTAGAATAACTCCGTTAGAATTACGGGAATGGGAGCTCGATCACAGAATAGGAACCGTAAGCCCATTTTCCACTAGGTGAATTTGTTCGCCCGAACACTAAAAGAGTAGGAACTGACGGAACGGAATTTTTTCGCAGCGAATTTTTTCGCTGAACAATTACATTGCCAAGATTTGTTTTTCGCTTCGCGCGAACAAATTCGCCTAGTGGAAAATGCATTGCTTTACAGCAGGTCGACTCAGCCAAAAAAGTGTAACCGCTGCCACGCCATGATTCGTCATCAAAATGCAGTCGCCATATTCTTAGCCGGTGCGCTATGAGAGGCATACACCGCCCTGAACGTTCGCCATTTTGAACATTTTCAGGAGGGTGAATGCCTCTCATAAGCGCACTGGCTACAAGCATTGCAATGGTTACGCCCAATTCATAGGCAAACCCAAGAAGTCGACCTTCTGTAAGGTTCCTACTCTGTGGCTAGGTGGCATCCTGTCTGTTCTGACCAGCATTACTAAGTATATAAATTAAGGCCAATATATACGGAGACTAGTTATCTGGTGGTGAGTTATAAACATTTGACAGTTTTCTTTGGTCACTGTTTACGAAAACTTGGCAGAGAAGGCGAGATATACTACCGGCTAGGTGAGGTGATAAATGCCAGGATAATTTGGCCAGATAGGATATAGAATGCACATGCCTTGAATTTAAAATATAATAGTACAAAAATTAGTAAAATTTAAAGTGTTTATGAAACGAAATTTTTCCTCATTTTTATTGTTTTGCTGAAAAGTACTGCTGGAGTGATGACGAATGACGTTTACAGTTTTTTTCATTTCTCATTCTCAAGTTATCACACTTTCTATTATTTTGAGTTGTGACGTCACAGAGATATTGAGATAGCGATAATTTAATAAAATTCAATGAAACTAGGTACATTAGTGGTCCTAGTCCCCAGTCTCTTCTCTTCGTTTTCACAAATTTCTTCCTACATACCTCTTGCAGAGGATGTTTGCTTGTTATAACGGTTTAAACTGATCACAACACCTATACGTACTATAATAATCAGCGAAAACTGCTATTTATTTCGTTGAAAATGGATCATATAGCAAATAAAAAAGAAGGGACTGGGGGGCGAGTGTGTTACATGACAACCGTATAAACACGCCAAATTGTTCACTTTGCACCCACTAAGTGTGCCAAGTTTCATTGAATTTTATTAAATGTTCACAAAGATATCAGATTTTCTTTTTATTGCCACTATTTCGAGTCAAACTAGTGACGTCACAACTCAAAATATAGAAAGTGCGATAACTTGAAAATGGGATACGAATAAACTGTAAACGTCATTCTTCATCATTTGAACAGTACCTTTTAATTAATAAAATAATAAAAACTGAGGCAAAAATTTCGTTTCATAAACACTTTAAAATATCGTTGACAATTCATGATGGAACTTTGGAAAAATAAATGAATGTTTAATTTAATTAATCAATATCTGTAAATTGGATAAAGAATTCGTAGTTTTTCGTCCTGATTTACATAAACTTTAGCTTCGATCGGCTAAAGTTAATCATGTCGCCTTGGGGTGTTCCCATGACATCGCCAAACAATGTAGTGTAGTACTGGTGATTTCCAAGGTTAAATTGTAAATATATATTTTGAAGATGATGAAATTCTCTTGGCATTACGATAAATAACGGGAGCGGAAATGGGGTGAAATGGAGGAAGTTGTCAATTATCTGAAAAGCAGCTAGCTATGCATGCATGCATGCATGCATGGAAGGTAATAAAATAGCCAAATTAGCCTTAAATTGACTCCAAGTATATTATTCAGAAGTCAAGTTCAGAGGCTGGATTATAATATATTGCTCAATATGTGTATTAGGTCTGTTCTGGCATCTTTATCATGCTAGACAAATAGTTATCTTACCTATTAAACTAATGTGTGATTTTTGCATTAACTAAACAAACTAATCTACCAAATAACCCTGTCGTTCAGCAAGTTTAAGACTTGTTTATAGTTTTTAGTTTAATTTATGATGAAGCCTAAAGAGTTTGAACCGTGTTGATGGTGACAATTGACCATGCTATAGCTTGCTGTAGTTGACAAGATGTAAGATATAACGACCTCAAGGCTATGCATATAGTCGACATTCCAATGTTACCTCATTACCATTACCCTAATGAAAAACTTAACTTATAATTTTCATAACAAATTAACTAATATTCAGAATTGCTATGTTACTGGGCAATTTCATTTTTGTTCTGGTTTATATATTCACGACACTAGTATAAAAACATTAAAAAAGTTACTAAAAATTAAAAGTTATAAAATCAAGCTTTCGTACTGTGAGTCCAAATCCTGATGATGGACGCTAGTCGGAAAGCTTGATTTTTTAAATTTTTGTGACTTTTTAATGGTAAATATCGACTGTTGTGGGCGTCAATATAGTTTCCAAGTCTATTTATGCGAATCAAATTGGCATGCTGTTCCTTCGATACACACAGGCATTCCTCAAGACCACAACTGTCAATCGTAATAAAGAACACACGTCATGCAGTTAACTTTAATTATAATTTATTTAATAACCGGTTTACCATTGTGTATAGGTGGTCGCAATATCATTGGTTTAACCGCCAGCTGTCATGGATTATGCAACATTGACCATACGTTGACGTTAACAGTTGAACACAGAACAGACCACCAGGCGTATTTAAACCTGCAGAGCTCGAGAAGACTTCTTAACGCTTGGTTTCTTCAAGGTAAAATATTTTATACATTTGCTATAAGATTTGTGTCATTAATATTAAAGGTCGGTGTTACCTGTTGAGCAATGCTATTTAATTGCCAAAATATACTGATGTTATTTGAGTTTTCTTAAATAACATCACTCAATAGGTGACACTGAGCCTTTTAAGCAAGTATAAGGCATATAACCTTTTAAGCAAGTAAAAGGCATAACCATAGACTGTCAGTGATAAGATGTAATGCAATTGAAGACACAAAACCACATGATTTAGGCAAAGCTACCTTAATTCAACACATAGAGATTGGTTGCTGACTACTGAACCCAAACTATAAGAATAGTGGTTGTATGTATGTATGTGAAAGTTTTTCAAGGTTTCTTTTTTGCACTTTACTTGCGATTAAGCTATGTTATAACAGCATTTAACTTAGTTTCCTAGCAGTTTTACAAATATGTATAGTTAGCTGGCATGCTGAGTAACTAGACAAATTAACATAATTTGTTTAGCTGCTATAACATGTTGTTCATGCATGATTATGCATGTGAGGTGTGGTGATAATACCTCATTTCAAAAGCCGACATTTTATTAAACTGATAAAGCCGACATTTTATTAAAGAAACTCGTTGCCTTGTTGAATACATATCTACGCTAAAGCCTGACGCAATTTTAGTCGGCCAATTGAAATTAATGAAATCCTTCATCCTTGCTTGTGCAGCTGTACAATATCATAGCGATTTTGGTCGACCGATTTTAAACGGACAAGATCAAATTGTTTTGATTTGCTCAAGTTTTATTGGCCGAGAAGTTGAGGCTTGAAAATACATGCCACTCCTTCCACTTTCTTGCATCGAAATGAAGATCGAATTTGTGCCACAAAAACGCAGCAAGAATTGATTCATAATTGGTTTTGGCCATAAATTTGTATGACTTGGTTGGCGCTAAAATCGCCAGCAAATTAGCATATAGTTGAACGACAGGGTGGTGAGAAAAGCTCACGCTTCTTAGAGAAGACATAATACGACTTAATCTATTTTTAGAGCTTCTTAGCCCCCCTGTGAAAAGTGTTATTCCAGACAACTGGAGCGAAACAGAGAATAATATATGTATATAGTCATCTTATTTTCAGTTTGAATTTTTTCTCTAATAATTCATGTTTAGCAGTTGAAATTTTTCAAATGTGTTTTTAGACTACGAAGTTATGTGGTACTGTATTAATATTGACATTCCAGACAAACAGTGCGACGAAATTAACAGTGTTTGAGTTGTTTGCCGATATTATCATGGATTTTCGTCTCATTTACAGAATGATGAAGATTTTGGTATTCATTTTCTTTTTGGTATTGCAAGTGTGCTGGGTTACTGTCTTGGCGGATCAGTCCTCAGGAGGCCAAGATGAGATTGAAAATGTTTTGACTGAAATAGTGGATTCAAGGTAATCATGCACGCATCAGTTTAATATCGCCGGCTACTGAAATGCGGTGTTTTCGTATAGTTTTAATTTCGTGCGCCTGGACACGGTACAAACCTCACAAATCACGCTCAAAGGCTATGTTGCTCGGCGCAATTTGTGCTGTAACTTGTACGGTCTTTCTTAACTATATAACTGGTTGGAGCAAAGCTCCCTCCAGCCCCCATGGTGCCCCCCCCCCCACTCAACAATTTTGGCCCACAGTCAAACTCCCTTTTCTCTATAATACAAGCAAGGTATTGGAATAAAAATGGAACTGGGAGGTTTGATATTCTAGTAACTGAAATTTGCTTTGTGAATCTTATGTCCCGTCTCAGTTTATATTCAACAGATGATTCAATGTCTTTTAAAATATATATATATATATTAAACATTAATTGTGTTGTAAATACCTTAAAATTTCCAAGTGGATAGCATATCCCAGGCCCTATAAATTTGAGTTGTTGGAAGGCTAGGCTAAACAAGTTAGTGACTGAGTTCTGGTATATTTACATAACTTGCATGTACTTAACTGAAGATTCAGTCTATATACAGTATAATTTAAACTCTGTATATACAAAAATGTGTTTCAGAAAACGCACGAAATGCAGTTCTAGGACTTCTAGGGGTGGAAATATGCAAACATTTTTTGGGAGAAAATACCCCCAGACCCCCTACTATTTACATACAAGGGGTGGCACTGGGGGCACGTGCCCCCACCACCACCACCAACTTCCAGTTCAAAAGTACCCTTTTTCCTGGAGCAAAGTGCCCTTTACCTCCGTCAAAAATGTCGTTTAGATTGCATTTTTTGCCCAATGGCCTTTGATTTATGATTGGATTTGTTTTTGTATTTAGGTATTTCCTGAAAAATTCTGTTATTTTTGGGTAAAAGTTTGTGATTTTCGGGAAAAAATATGATATCTCCGGAAAATTTTTTAGTACGTCCGGAAAATTTTTGTCATCTTCTGGAAAAAATGTGATATGTCCGGAAAAATTTTTGGTATGTGCGAAAAATGTTTTTAAGATGACCCCCCTCCCCCCCGTAGCCAACATTTCCGGAAAAATTTTTTAGGTGCCTTTTCAATCGAAAAGTGCCCCTCGAAGCCTGCCCCCCCCCCAACTTTTAGATGCTTCCTACGCCCCTGACCACACTAAACCTTTTGTCACTAACAACCATCTGTCATCTCTCCACACTCAGTATAGTATGGTCTCTTTTTGTAGATGCCCCCCCCCCCCATAGAAGAATTCTTAAAAAAGGCCTTGGGCCAACAGCCGGGCTTTCAGAGTAATTTTTGTGTGAGCGGCTGTGGTGAGAAAATAGGCGGATGAAATCATCTTACTTTTGTTTTACAAATGTGGAATAAATTTGAACAACAGTACTTCATCAATTGGTTATCATGCAGCTAAGCTTATTTATACTGCCATATGAGAAGGATGGCTAAAGATATTGTTAATGAGAAAAGATATATAGGCTAGGACGTTAAAACGACAAGATTTTGATGACTGTGGGTTAGGAAAAAGCAAACTGAGAATTTCGAACAAAATTTAGTCGTGCATCTTACTATAACTGTAGCCCGTTGTTTTTTAGATAATCTCAATCTCAATTTATTAAGCCGGTAAACTTCTAGAAAATCACACCAACTTTAAAACTATAAATAAACTAATTAAAATATGAACAATGTCAATGCATATAAATACGTTTAAAAGGTCCTAAGTTAGCTAAAATACAATATAATACAATTAAAAATGACTACTTAGTTTCGTTCTGAATTTGCCCAATGAACTTGAGTGGACTAGTTCAGGTGGTAGCTTATTCCATTCTCTAATATATAGTTCTTGGGAAATATACTGAATATTTAAAAACGTCTTCAGTTGCCTTAGGAATCAGTGATATTTCAATGGGTGGCTGCCGCGTGTTCTAGATTCTGGGCAGGGACATGGCGACTAGGGGGGGGGGGAGTGCGGGGGTGGTGTAAGCCACCTCCAACTGTGAAACTCAGGCAAAATCAGGTAAAATTCAAGTTAAAAATTTGACATTTTAAGGTAAAATTTGCGTAATAAAGTCGTTATTTGCGTGAAATGCTAACCATTTTTGCAAAATACAGTCAATTTACATCCAATTCGTTCGCCAAGTTGCTTTAGAAAACGCCAGAAATGCAGTTCTAGAGCTTCAAAAACGTAAAAATGTTTCTGGGAGAGGACCCCGTTTCTCCCGAAACTTAGTATGACAGTGCCAATAATCACAAAGACCTTTATTATATAATTATTAAACGTCAGGTGAATTTTTAACATTGAAGTTCAAATTTCAGGTAAAACCTCCGACACCCCAACTTCAGATGCTTTGCTACGTCCCTGCAGATTCTGGGTGTAATTTCAAATACTGATCGGTGTTAAAATCTACAAGGCTATCATTGTTACTCTTGATTCCACCCTCCTCTCTTCCAATGTAAGGGGGTAAGCTTGCTAATATATATACCCAAACAATACTTTTCTTTTGTTGTAGCCCCGTCGCGAAAAACTCTGTAAAAGAAAAGAGATGGTTCAACTCCAACAACAATAACAATAACAACAACAACAACAATAACAACAACAATAATAACAATAATAACAATAACAATAACAACAACAACAACCGGTATTGTACTGAACCCTGTTACTGTTGGATTGGTCAGCGGCATACCTCCAGTGTTTACGTGAATTATGGAAAGATACCTTGTCGAGGACCTTCAGATTCTCATGCATGCGCATCAGCGTGTGTGAAAAAGTGTGGATGTAAGTAAACACAAGCTGACTCCACCGTAACTTGGATTTAGGACGGAGATCTTGTCCAAAAATTTAATACATCAGGTTCCTCCACACAAATGTCCAGAATGACAATATGCTGAACACAGGGCTCCAGTTGCAGAAAAAAGTCATTAAAGTTAGTTGTCACAACTACACTTAGAGCTAGAATCACTCATTTTAGTCAACTACAATCCAATACTCAAACATTATAAACCAACGACTATTTTTTCTACCGACGCTGACACTAGAACAGATCTCATTGCCCATTGGTATCAACCACTAGTATCAATTATAGAATCCTCTCGCATTATAAACCTGTTGACTGGACTATTTGGAAATTTATGAATTTTTATGTTTTATTTCAGATTACATTAGAAGTTTTAGTTACTTGTGCAAAAAGATAAACGGAGAATACGATACTGCGCAAGGAGGACTTGCGTGTTACGCCAGCCACCAAGATCCCACTGCAACTCAAAAGAGTAAGAGAAGCCCCAACAACAACAACAATAACAACAACAATAACAACAATAACAACAACAACAACAACAATAATAACAACCACAACAACAACAACTGTTTGTGTAGACAGAAAAGGGCAAACAACAACAACAACAACAACAATAACAATAACAACAACAATAACAACAACAACAATAACAACAACAATAACCACAACTGTTATTGCGACTTCAATGAGCTTTGGAATGCAGTTCGTTATCCTCACAGGCGATTTTGTTGCAAAACCACAAAATGTCCAGGCTGGTCTAAGCCGTACCGTGGAGTATGCCGACTACTAGTTTGTAGTAAAGGTATGTTTGTATTAAGCTTGTCAAGAATTACACTTTTTTATATCTACGTAACTCAAAACTAACGAGTATAATATACCACTTGCCACTTGGTTATGACTGCATTCAAAAGTCTTAATTTTTTATACATTTCTCATTTGGCAACCAACTTAAAAAGTATATGTTGGATGTCACCGACTAGACTGATAACGCGTTCACACCCACAAACGCCCACGTTACACGAGGCAATTTTTGTCACTTGCAACGCAATTTTAAACATAGACCGATGTCAAGGCCTTTATACTAGATTGTGCTGGCATATTATACTACTAAAACAATGCTCGTTGTTTGTCTATACAAATTATGCTGAAACTAAACAGGTTAATATAGCAATGGCACTGCCACGACTACAAACAATTATGAATTTAATAAAACGTGTATTGTAACTTTAATTTTCGGCAGCATGCCACCGCCTTCGTCAGAAGCTAAATAAATATAGTGAATTACCTCCCTTATATACAACAATAAAAAAATTAATACAATATTAACAAAGCTTAAAGAACCCATTGTTGGTAATAATCATGGCTGGTATTCGAAAACTCCCAAATTATAAAATATTATAACATAATATTATTATATTAAATATTATATTATATTATATTATATTTATATTTATATTTTATATGTATAATTTATTATAGTTTTGTATATACTTTTTAGTGCCTATATACACTTTCTTATGTGCTCATTAAAATATCAAGTTGAAATGCTCACTAAAGTGCTCATCTATGACTATGAAGTGGTTTATAACCACGCTACATATTCTACGCTTATGCTTTCTATGTGACTTGTAATTCGCCAAATGAGGCTTGAAATTCATATCATACAACCAACCCCCTGCAGGCCACAACTGCACTAGACTTGCTCCAAGTCTCTCTTTCATTTTCATATAGATCCATTATAGTGTACATTACTACGTCATGTAATGTACACTATAGTGGAACGATACTATATGACAATGAAAGAGAGACTTGGAGCAAGTCTACACTTGCACAAGCCAGACACTAAACCACATCTATGTCTGTCAACGCCTGACCACGAACGGGCATTTTCTCCCGTACTAACTCAAATATAACGGTAAATTTATATCTGACCCTTTCAACCCCTGACTGGTTATCTACTGATATAGACGGAACATGGAAGTACAGTCGAATCTCTATTAAGCGGCCCTCCATTAAGCGGCCACCCTCTATTAAACGGCCACATATCGAAGTCCCGAAATTTTTGTAATAAAAATACTATAAACTATCCCTCTATTAAACGGCCACCTCAATTAAGCGGCCGCGGCCACCCAAAGAGCGGTCCCAAATGATGTTTTATGTCATTTTTTACCTCTATTAACTGGCCAGCCTGCATGATTTTTAGGTTTAGATATAGGTAATGAATTAATGAGAACCATATTGGTGCCCTAGTAATAAATTTACGCGTGAAATATGATAGTGTGATGGCCTCGTGTTGTTGGCACAATATATGCCGGTGAAAAAATGTTATAGTAGATGAAACTGAGAATTAATTAATTAAAGATAAAATCACTGTATTCTGTGAGGTAAAATGGGAACTGGGAAGGGGTAAAATGGGAACTGGGATTGATCTATTTTTAGACTGGGAAAATGGGATTTGGGTTGCTGGGACTGGGATTTGGCCACTGGGAATGGGAAATGAAGTCCTCAAAAATGGGAATGGGATTGAGGCAATGCGAGTCGATTCCCAATTTTACTACGTTTTGAGTATTTTAAAATACAATTTTGATCCGTTTTTGGTGTCTTTAACCATGATTTTTGTTGTTAACTATATTATTCACAGCACTACCTGCGAACAGGCATACTCTGGCGCCCGGAATTCTGGGTTTTCTGATTATGCGTGTCTCAGAATGCTGCAAATGCCATTTCCGGGATTCAAATTTAAAAATTTTCCGTGCCTTCGGCACGAGCCCCCCCCCCTAATATTTCACAAAGTGTCCACCACTTGCTTAAAAGGTCTTAAAACTGTTTATTCTACCGATAAATACAGGGGTTTTTATTGACTGGGATTTCAAAAACTGGGACTGGGATTTCTAATAAAAATCCAACTGGGACTGGGATTTTGCCAAAATTTCAGGTGGGAAATGGGATTGGGACCCCCCTTCAGGACCCTCTTCTGTGATTTATAATTAAAAATAGACATTTGACTACGCCCAGGGTCTATTATTTGCGTACCTCTATTTAGCGGCCATCTCTATTAAGCGGCCACAAAGCCGATCCCCGAGGGTGGCCGTTTAATAGAGGTTCGACTGTAATATCAAAACTAACAAGCTCAATGCTCGTTTCCACAAATTATGCCAAACAATAGCCTAGCTTTAGATAACACGACCATGACTCTGTGCCATTATGTTGCAAATGTAATTATTGCATCAAAAATTGCCTCGTCTAACGTGGCCTTAAATTATCTTTTTTCTTTAGTTGGTGATATGCAAGATGGATTTAAAGGTGATGGTTATGCCGCTGAAAGTGGTCGACTTTACAAGATATCTCAACCTACCACAACCGCACCTTATTATAGTTATAGCTGTTAGCCTCCGCTTTTTTTTGTTTGAGAAGTCAATTATATACACCGTTGACTGTTGCCATTGCTTAAATACAATTATTGCTTGTTGATTCAACTGCTTCTTATAGATTGTAGCGTTGCTTTGCAATACCATGCACTTTGATTCAATATTTTATGCTTTATTATTTTTATAAATAAATTGCACTTTTACTCAAAACCATACGTCAAATTTACCTTCTTCATCGATTATATATAATATTTTAAGTGAATTGGTTTATATATGTTTCTCGCTGAAAAGGGTTAGGCTGTTGTGACTCGGGTCAAGATAAAAAAGAAATACATTCGTGCGCAAATTGGTACATATTTCCGAACACTTGAACGTTTCCTTGTAAGTCATTATAGGTGTTAATCTATTTGGATTCTTTTTAAGAACAAACTCGTTGCTCTCGAGTGTGGATTGCAGAAAATTGCAAAAACGCTTTCTGACTGCAAGATCCCATGGACACCAACCATTCTGCGCATTTCCTGCCCAAAATAAAACTCTTCAATCTGGTAAGCCATGGTATAGGCTAAATCTTGAGGGATTGTTGGATCAAAGTACCTGAAAATAAGAAAGTCAAGCGGCGTTTCGAGCGAAGGCTCCTGGTCCGGAAGTCATTCTTATTATATTTTCAGGTATAGTTACAATCCTTGAGAGAGTAATCCTTCGAATCACCACACTGTTATTCTCATGCAGTACTACATTACATGCGTATAAAGATCGACACTATACATGTAAAATACATTGCTTAATAATTGGAATGTGTTATACAATCCTGAATATATATACATTTATTTACCGCTATTTAAATTAATTAATGGACCATTTTAGAAGCAAAATACAGTCACCACTTTAACAAAGAGAGGTTCAGATTTGACTTCCACTACCTCTCACTCGGCATAGTACACATTTGATTGGTTAATTGGATATATCAAACGCATATCTGATTGGTTAGTGGTCCCTTAAGGGACGGACCATTAGAAAAGTGATGGGGGCAAAACAAACAAAAAAATTATTCTCAGAAAAAAATTAGGAATAAAAATCTTCCCAGGCGTAGTGCAAAAAAAAATTTCCCTAGCTTGGAAGATAGGCCTGTAAATTTCACTTAAAAAATATAAATTGCAGCCATCAAGTGAGAAAAAAATATATTACCCCCCCATCACTTTTCCAATGGTCCGTCCCTAATGGTAGCGGTGGTGAAAGTCAAATCTGAACTTCTCTAAATAATATTTTTTGATGAAGTTCACAATATACTGTAAAATCTTGAGATATTTCTGAAAATTTCTAGAGCAAAACAAAACTTGTATTTTAAAAATGAGAAAAACGGATCGTATTGGCAAAAGCCATCGTACTCAAACGGTACTTCTATTATTTTGGAGGATGAAACTGAATATCCGCGGACACTTGCGCCATACTACAATGCATGCATGATAACAAGATCCTATAAACCACCTCTGTCTGCCACATACATACGCGAAACCATATATTAAACGTCAGTCATAATAATTTCCTTGCTGACATCCGACATCATCGTTGCCTTATGTACAACAGGACTCATTGACATTGTAAAATCAGCAAACGCATGTTCATGCCCGTTGCCCCACTGTTCCATTCGATTATAACATAAAATAATTCGGCAAGTGAGTTGTTGCGAACATGTAAAGGCCATTTTCCATTATGACAGTTTTGCCCGCGCGGGACGAGCGAACATTAGGGACCTTTAGCAAATAGGTGACGGCAACGGCGCAACGCCGGCCAAAACAAACTCGTTCAAATAAGTAACTTTAAAATCAACATGTCTTGTATTATCCGTCGTATGAATTTATTGCAATTTAGAAGGTTAAGACAGAGGTTTATAGTTGAGAAGACTTCTACTAAGCCAATTTGGCGAGGACGACTTCTCGCGGCTTGAAAGGCAGACGTTGTATACAAAACGTGAAAATCTTTGTTTTGCTGTTGTAAACAGATCAAGGACGACGTCTAAAACTCCCAAGGGACCTTTAATTATGCATTTTCTTTCTACACTGTCATAAATTTCATTGTGTTAATAGCCGTCCCCGTCCTGTTAGCTAAAGTCCCTAGTTTTAAACATGCTGTGCAGCTGCAAGATTTCAGTTCGCGTTAGCCCTTGCGTGCACACGCCATGAAATTAAAGTTGAACAGCATTCAACTTTCTTGGCGTGCACATTCGACAATTACACACGAAACATGCAGCGGCCGTAATGGGAAAGGGCCTTAAATTGGGTGCATGGGATTTGTAGATGGAAATCTCGAGTGGAATTTTTATACATTTATTAAACCTAACCATAGATATCTTATATACACTAGATAGTGCATCTAATTATTCTGCAATTCAAAAATTGAAGCCGTGATTGCAGACTCATGATATTCCCATGAAATGAGAAGACTCGTATGTTTTCTATTTCTTAAACAGGGAACTTAAAAATGAATTAAGTTAAACCTATTCCAAATATATTTTCAAACTATTCAAATGATGAAAGTTATTGTTGTTTCTTAAGCGTTTATTAACGAGTGGGAAACTTCAACATGGCCGCCATCTATTCAAATGGGGGTAACGGCTGGAATATTCTTGGCTTCAATTTTACTAAAAGAGATGCACTATCTAGTGTATATAAGATATCTATGGACCTAACCAGGAGCAGTTGCGAAAACTATCGGTCCTGCGAATTCCGGTACAGCGCTCTCACCAACTGGCAACTGAGCTACAGAGAGACAGTTGTCGTCGAACTCTAACCACAAGTCATTATATAAATATCAAGGTGATGCCTATGTACGGTGTATGGATAAATACCCTTAAATTGGGTGGCGACTGGCATAAATATACGTTACCCGATTAGGTATATGCGTTTCTTTCTTTTCACATATATTAATGAGAGAAAACCCCATCAGACAAATCATTTTTATGCACTTGAAAGCTTAATGACAAAGAAGAGTTGTCATTCTTTGTCATTGAGAAAGATGTTCCAAATGGACAAAAGAAATTGAATGAACAAACAAATCCATTCAAATAAGATAATGGCGTGTCGAGTTTTCCCCTTTGCGAGCCTATGATTTCTACCGTGTCCTTTAAATTGCTTCCCACGCGAGGACTCGACTTATTTTTGACACTCGACTTATTTTTGACATCTTATTTATATATTGGAGATCTCTGCAAGAGTCCCCTTGAGTTGAAATCGGCATGCCGCCGTCGTTTTCTTCTGTCATGGGAAATTATTCTGTTACATATTGTGTTCAGGATTAGATAAAAGTCCCGTGATGTCTTTCGTCTTATTCATCATCCAAGAAAAAGAAATTGCCTGCATGTTTTTGTTCGACGTCCTATAAAACGTAAACAAAAATTAAGTATTGTACATTTACTTCTATAACAAGTCAATAAGCAAGTGGGGTGTGCTAATTATCCTTATTTGCGGCTCAGAGCTAAGCTGAATTACGAAGGACGCAGCTCAAGCTGATGCAATCGAAGGCTTCGGGGAGTATCCGAAGAATATATACATCAGTATAAAACCACAATACCATGAAGATGGAAACTATATGTAACGTCAGCCTCTCGAAATTCTTTTGTTACAGTGTTACAAGCCAGTGCTGTTAAAAATAATTCAAAATTCTACGAACATTACATACCTTTACTGAATTCAGTTTATTTATTCTTGGTCGGAAGTTGGTCGGATCTCTTCGGAATGTGATGTTCAAGGATTGCAAAAATTTATTCATTCCAGTTAACAAACTTTGAGGACTAGGAAAAAATTAATAAATAGTTGACATCAAAGTAAATGCAACATTCTATAGTGATGCACCGATATCCGTATCGGTATATCGGCCCTAAATTAAAAATATCGGTATCGGTATTTTTGTTGCCGATATTATATCGGTATAATTGTATTAGAATACAAAATAATTTATTGTACAATCTAGTGCAATGGTTTATTCCACTAGCTACTGATGCATGTTAGTTAACAACCAAAATAAACGTGCAAGCAATCAAAACTTACGTTCTTGCACAGGTAGAAATAGACGGTATTCCATCAAACACAACAACACGATCAGCGAGGTAGGTTGCCATTATGAAATCGTGTTCAACGACAAAACCCGTTTTCTTTGCATGTAAAATAAACCTAAACAAATCATGATACAATGAAATATTGTAGTTAATGAAGCAAAATAAGGAAAGCTGAAACCAAGAATTAACAATCCCAGCAAGGGGGAGGTCAAGGGTTTGCGAAAGAAAGTGACCGTGCGAAAGAAAGTGAAAGTACGCGTGCGCAGATGGTCTCAGCCAATCTCAACCCCAATCCTCAACCGTGCTGAATTGTATTGAAAAAGACCGGTTCCACTGTTCACATGCGCCGTTTGCGCGGGACCAAAACAACAAAGCTTCAAAAAATTCCTCACTTAATATTACTTTGAGCTAACACGCGCATCACACGGTTTTGATAATACTTTATAGTTGCCAGGGATGAACTAGGCGTGAATCTGAATAGGCGGAAATAACCCTTCTTGTAACTTATATACACCCCAACATAATATCGCTCAATACCTCTTAATTACTTTGGCAGCAACGAGACGTTGTTCAGAATCCAAGTAAGCCGATGGTTCATCAATCAAATATACATCAGCAGGCTAAAACGAAGGATACCATCAATACATTGTATTGTGTGTGATACAAATTGTTAATGTACAGTATGTGTGTATATATGTATTTATTATATTTCTATATATATTTGTAAATTTATTTTTCTTTTGTATTATTATTTGCCATATTTAATTCCTTGTTGTATATAGTTCTAATGGGGAATTGGCTCGAAAACTTTAGTTACTCCAATTCGCGGTAATAAAAAAGATGGCGCCACGCATTGTATTCTGGGTAGATCGACATGTTCGCGCCAAAACAAACAATGGCGGGTTGCCAAGAATTTGATTCTATTCCTCTCGAAGAAACTGAAATTCCTGGTGCAAAACTGAACAAAAACGTTGAAGATTTAAGTAGAACTGAGGCTGAGAGATGGCTGAAGTGTCGTGGCTGTAGAAATCTGAGTGGAATTACTGTGAAGGAGTTAAAATGCAAGTGAGTTTGGAGTTGTGTGATTGTTATTGTTGTGATATAGACTCTCATTATCTCAGACAACGCAAAGTAAAACGCATTTTGATATTCTTTTAATTAGTTTTTATCTTAAAGAATCCACACGTACATCAAATTTGGATGGGACAAACAGCTACTAATGGATCCAGAGGAGAAAATCCAAAAGCAAAAGAGAAAACAGAATCAAAACGTGGAGCAGCAGCTTATTGAAAAATTTCTCGAGGGAGAAAGTATTCCCACTGACAGCTGGACCACGGATTTAAAGCATGTTCCCGATATAACACATTCAGTTGTCGAGGACTTTTTCAAAAATGCAAAGGACAAGAGACATTTGACAGAGGGATATGCTTTTTCAAAGACAAAAAAGTTTGAAACATCCGGAAAACCTCTACGTATTAACCTCTTACCAAACTGTGATATGTTCTTGTTGGAAGGTCACACAAGACCAACAATGAAGCAAGCGAAGGGCATATCATCGGGTACCGGTATATATTCTTGCTTAGTGGTGTTTGACAAGATAACTGGTAACATTATAGCGGCAAGAGATAGATCATGTGCAGCAGGACGACGCGGCTATTGTAAACACATAGCTGCCCTGTGCTACAAACTTGTGGAGGCCAAAATGAGGTCTGCTAAAGAACTACCCCGAGCTCTCAATTGTACAGAGATCAAGCAGCAGTGGGGAATACCATCAGCAAAAGCACAGCAAGACCCTGAAAAGGAGCTAATGAAGAAGAAACCTCTGCAAGACATAACATTTGAAAAACATCTTCTCATCCGTGATCAGAAAGGGGGAAGAAAAAGAAGACTTCCACAGGAGGTGAGCAGTACTTACAACGCAACGCCTGCAGGTGAGCCAAAAATTGATGCTGCATGTGTTGATGCATTCAAACAAGATTTGTCAAAATCCAAGAGTTCATACTTAGTCACCAACTATGTCCATCTTCGACCCAACCCTACATGTGTACCAGCAGCAGACAAAGAAAACACACCTAGTTGTAGTACAGCTGATAACTTTCCAAAGCAGAGAACTGAAACCTGGTTCCAAGAAAGAATAGGAAAGGTTACTTCATCGAAAGCTCCAGCAGTTATAGGACTGTATGGAAGAAAAGAATTTACAGAAACATGGGAATGTATTACAAACAGGAAGCCAGAACCATCTAAGAATTTTAAGAACTTTCAGAGAGGTATTAATTTTGAGGAATCAGCAGCAAAATGTTTTAGTCTAAACAGTGGAGCTAAGTTATCTGAGTGTGGAATGTTTGTGCTTTCATCTGATAATCGGTTTGCTGCATCTCCCGATAGACTATTTCAGGGCGAAACCTGTTCCGAACTAATTAATCTAAAAACTAACAAGAAAGTTAAACTAAATGGACAATGTTTGCTTGAGATTAAAACTCGGGCAGAGGGACAAAGTGAGCGCTTACTTGCAGTCACTGGTGCACATATTTGCCAGGTTCAACTACAAATGAAGTGTACAGATGTGAGTTTAGCCATTCTTCAGTCATATGTTCCAGAATCTAACAAATCGAAGTACTTTCTTATTACTAGAAATGATGATTTTATCAACCTATTCCTCAACTTGTGTACTACTGCATTCAATCATAATTTACCCGAGTTTGATTCTCTGTAAGGCATTAGTCAGTTAGCAAATGCTTTAGCTAAAACCTGTCCAGAAATTGATTTTGTGCTTGTTTGAATAATTTATAATTTATATAACAAATATTATTAAATATGTATTATTTACAGCCCTTTTGAATTATTTGTTATCAAAATGATGTTTTTTAAAATATTAAAGTGATTGTTTGTAATATTACAATTAATACAATTATTAATTTAAATACAATATCAAATTATTTGTATATTAAATTATAATTATTTATATACAATGATCAATACATGTATACACAACAATCATAGATCTCCAGGCATTGATTGATTATTATACATGAATTGAATGCATGAGCAACCACCACCCCCCGCTCCTCACAAAAATATCCCACTTTGGGAAGCTGGAATGTGAAATATACAAACACTGTATACATTACAGAATTTATACATAACACTGTATACATTACAAAATTTTAAAGCATTTGAAATGAGATTTTTGAATTCCCACTGAACCAGGGACGTCGCGGAGGCATCAACATTGGGGGGGGGGGCGTGTCGTCATGTTTTGACCAACATTTCCTAGGATTTTGACCAAGTTGTAAAAATGTTTCCTGAAAATCTTGTCGACGGGGGGCGGCGGAGGTCGTCAAAAAATTTTTTCGGACTAACATAAACATAGTCAAAAAAAATTTTCCGGACTAACAAGCAAATTCGAAATTTTTTTGACCAATATAAGCAACGCTTCCAATTTTTTCACCGCACACATAACAAAAGTTTTAAAATTGTTAAAATTACGAAGCATTTCATAACTTTCGGCAAATTCGACCATCTTTTATCCCAAACTTTGACCAAATTTTTCCCAGTTTTACCTTTACCTATCAGTTCCATTTTGACCAACTTTGGGCAAATATCACTTCCATTTTGACCAGCTTTGACCGTTTGAAATATTGGGGGTGTTACACCCCCCTCCCACACACACCCCTATAGCGACGTCCCTGCACTGAACAATCTACCACACAGGGGGGGGGGGTGTTTGCTGACAAGGTAAATTACTGCACAGAAGTCAAGGGTTTGGTTACTCATGGAATGTACTCATCAGGGGCATAAGAAGCAGGGGGATGGCACCTCCCATATTTTATAAGGTGTGCTGGAATAGTTTTCGCACCCTCCAGAATAATTGAATTTTAAAAAAATCGTGGCAAAATATTTCAAAATCCAAATTTTCAAAATGTTCCCACTTAGTGTCTACCATGTTGGTACGTCATGGGAGTCCCCCCTAACTTCATCAAGTAGTTCACACCTATCATTAACAAGAGGAGGTAAAAAGGCAGTTAACCAGCAACATACTTTCCACATCTTCGAAATCTGGTGCACATATCGAATTGGTATGTTTTCTTTAAAAATCCTGAACACCTTGACTCTTCGTATCGCTCTTTCGACATGTACCCGAACTTGAGAATTCTTTCGATTATGTATGTCTTGTTCTTCGGTAAACTGCTTCTTGTTTGACAGTTTCTCTGGTGTATCTACGATCACACCATAGGCATCTAGAATATGCTGCACCATAAATCCTTTGTCAGCAAGCCACCTATCTCCCACTTGAGCAAGGGAAAGGATTCCACTAGCTTTTACATTGTCCTCATCTGATTTACTGCCTGGATAAATTTCTGAGACAAACACTGGTAGCAGAAGTGGTGAGAGTGCAATCAGTCCCTTCCCTGTGTTGTGTCCTTTGTATTCAGACCAGGTACAACTTTGTTGTATGATTTGTGAGGACTTCTCAATGAAAATTTCTGTACAGTCGATTATAAGATAGACATCCTCATAATGTGGCTTGAAGCACTTTGGTAAATGCTTTTTCAGAGTCTCGCGGTCTGTTAAAAAGCTCAGCATTCCATGACAGTGACACAAACGGTCAATCCAGGTGGCAAATATTTGTGATACTTCTGGCTGAGTAATGTTATGTCTGTCAGCAAGATCTTTCTCCAGCAAACCGAGACGTAATCTTGTCAAAGTGAGAAATAGTTTATCAATTTCACACAAATTTCTTGGCCTTCCTCGAGAAACAACATAAGGTGGGTCTTTAGCGGCATTGGTATACCCGTTGTAGTAGTTTAGATTAAATACTGGTTTAGGTTTAACAAAATTGTGCAAAGAAACAAACGTTGCGTAATCAGGAAGTCCCGTGTAGAATCTGATATCCGAATCACTTGCCATAAACCTTCGCACACCAAATGTTTCTATCTCTCGACGCTTCTCTAGTTCCTTAATCCGTTTTTTCAGCTCACCTATTTCTTTCCCACACTCGCATGTATTCTCTGATGGTAATGTTTCCCCATGAGGTGTCTCCTTCGTTTGGTTTTCGCTGCAAGTTTTCTCCTGTGTATGTTCTTGCTCGCCAGCTGTCGGCGTCGTACACAAGTCAACACTTTCCGCTCGTTTGTCCAACGATCCCGTACTCGTAGCAGTTTCAGGATTTAACAAGTACGAGATATCTACAGGCCAGACTGCCTGGTCAGTTTTTTTTATCTTTCCGAGGAAAAATGGCTGGGATATTGTTATTTCCATAATAGTGCCCTCGAGGAAAATGTGCACTGCACACACGGTCGCTTTTTTGCCACTGGTAATCCATCGTTCTCGTTTTCAAAGCGTGAACCCATTTTCGTTTTAGTTTTGGGTCTGTGGGGAAGCTGAAAAATTTTAGCTTCTTGTGAACCCAGCTTTTGTGTGGGCAGCAAAACACAGCACATTTAAAGGGCATGTTTTTATGACTTCGCCATTACATTTTTTGGCCTTTAAATATTAACTACGTAACCTTTGTTTATACTTTTATTTGTCGATCTACCCAGAATACAATGCGTGGCGCCATCTTTTTTATTACCGCGAATTCCCCAGCACCGTTCTCTTTCATGTAAAACTTTATTGTAATAATCTTGTCATTTTTTTCCCAATGCAAATTCTATTCTATTCTATTCTATTCTATTCTATTCTATACAGTACCACTTTAAAAATAGATGTTGACTAAATATACGATATTTCGGATATTACAATAAAATATGTGGGAAAGTAAGAGCCTTTCGCGAGTTCGATTCTTGCTACGGACTCAATTTCGTGGGTTTTCTCCGGGTGCTCCGGTTTCCTCCCACAGGAAAAGTTGACATGGTGGGTTAGGATAAACACAGTTAAGAAACTAATATCACAGTAATTGTTGGAAAGATAAAATAGTCTAGGTTAAGTAAGTAATTAGGTAAGCGTAATACTTGATGTAAGGCGCATTTGATCATATCCAGATGCAATTTGCGCTATAGAAATGTTAATCATGATATTAAACTACCGCATGATTCCGAAAGTAACGTAACGCCACCCCCATGTATCACGAAACACCTATAACGGTATTTTGTGATACTTTACACACCATCGGAAATTAGCGTTCACAAACGCGTTCCAGCTGACGTACACTCATACTACTCATTACTTCACGAATCATTTTTCAATAAGAAAAAGACAGTAATATGAAATAAAATTTTTTTTAGGAGGGGAATCTCACAATATACAGTAAATTCTACAGTATCGTGAATGATTTAAAATAATTATTAAAAATCTGACCTTGCCAAGACAGAGAGTTAGGGCAACACGTTGTAATTCACCACCAGATAAATTTTGTACTTCTTGATCAAAGACACTTTCTATTTGAAGTGGTTTCATGACGTCCGTGATAAACTGAGGATGAATGTATGCATCGCGAATCTTCTCGTGTAACAGCTGACGTACAGTACCCTAGAAGACAGTTATTATCATTAAAAATGTGCATGGCATGACCTCACCGTTGTTATGGCTAGCTTTGCCACTGTTCACACAATCATACGGAACAAAGCAAGACAAAATTAGGTAAGGTAAGACAATGTGGGGCTGGGCATGGTATATTAAAGTAAAATATGGCAATGTAGGACAAGACAAGGCAAGGCAAAATAAGACAGCCATCATTAAAATGCGCACGAGCACCGCTGGCAGGCACCTTTTGAATTTGTACAGGCACGTCTTGAAATATCTTTAAAATCCAGATATTTTAACAATACAGCCGAACCTGTATTAAGCGGCAATGCATTAAGCGGTCATCCTTTATTAAGCGGTCATTTGGTAAAGTCCGCAAAATTTCATAATGTAAATGTTGTCGAAGTGATCTTTACTAAATGGTTACCTCTATATATTAAGCGGACGTGGTCACCTGTCGCACAGTCTCAAACATAATTTTTCATTGTTTTGTGACTGTATTGAACGGTCATCCAATTTAATGGACATCAAGAGCTTTTCCTAGCCATATCAGTGATTAATTTGTTGAGCAAACCAAACTCACCACGCTGCGACAGCTAAACTTAGCAAGGTTATGTCGTTTTGTATTGTTCGTCATGTTCAGTTCTCTTGTTTTTATTAGGACTCGATAACACCCTTTTGAACCGTGGTACTTGGACCTGCACTGAGCGGTCACCCTGTATTAAGCGGTCACTTGCGAAATCCCAAGGGTGACCCCCTAAATACAGGTTCAACTGTATTTAGCTCTATAAACCTAAAATACAATGCATTTTTGCAGGCACATCGTGAAGTTATGAATTTTTCGTGCAGGCACTGAATAGAATTAACGAGCCCAGTGATAACGCTTGACTGGGGCAAGTAAAAATCACTAAGGGCAAGTAGGAGATGCTTCTTGGTTGCCCGATCGGGCAAGTTCTATTGCTAAACGGTTTGCCAAACGGTTTGCTTGTTTATGTTATGCATTCTGTTCTTGATTCTTTGTTAGTACATCAGCTGAAATCAACACTTCGTAATTAAGTCTTCAAATGACTTTGCAAAGGAAAACATAAGATTAGAATGGTGATTATAATTAATCCTTACTGCAATCATTTGCTTCAAATATTGCTACTACAGTATGTGAGAGCAAAACTAGACCTGATGACAAGTGAATTTTACTTCTGGCAACCAATTTTCATGTCTAACTTGCCCGAATCGCAAGTGGTAAAAATAGTTACGTTACACCACTGGAGCCCTGAGAGGGTAACATACATAAAGTAAGGTGGTAATTGCAAGGAACAGCAAAGTAAAACATGGCAAGGTATATAGTCTAGGACCTGTATATGAGTTTGTATGCGATTCATTTAGGACAGGTAATCTCAACTGTTTTAGGGTAAAATGACCATGGCGGTCAACATGGCATATGTGCGAAAACCTGAATCCGGGACGAAAGTCCTGAAAATGACCCCGCCCTGAAACGGCAGTGTCGACATAGCTCTAACTTCAGAAAAGAAAAGCGATAGCCTTTCTGAAGTGCTTATAGTGTTTAGAAGGGTTGCTTTTAGGGGTGGTCATTGGAAGGAAAAATTTGTCGAAGTATAATATTTTACCAGAAAATGACTATGCACCACCCCAGGTAAATTGCTGATTATGCACAAAATAACTAATATGCCTGGCAGAAATTAAATATTCTTATTTCCTAAAAAAATTATCATGGGGTGAAAAACTATGCTTAATTTAATATAAATATTGTTGATTTCATAAGGATTGTCATTGTTTTCTTTAAATATAATACATTTTATTTCACTTACCCCCCACGAAAACACGATTTCAGCCATATTTTGCCGTCTTGTTTGCTTTTTATCGCCGAATCTCGCAAATATCATCCAGTTATTGTACTTTTACATAATCATAAATGGCTGAAGAAGATTTCAAAGAAGGTTTCATCCACTTTTGTAACAGTGCAGTGTATTTTACCTTCGATATTGTGTCCTTCGATATTTCGCCAAATTGCCGCCATTTTAATGGCTCGCCGCTTCTCTGTCTGATAAATGCAACTTCTTCGTTTCCATATGTATTTAGATTACAGTATCCAAGAGTACTTCATTGTAGAATAGTCCCAATCCAAAAATTGGCAACATTTGTCCCATTAGAAAGGAAAAATCCTCCCGTATACAATTTAGGTTCAAAATAAAAAAACAAATAATTTGAAAGTCACGCGCAATCTTCGCGAAAACTTCTCGTGGACACATGACAGGGGGGTTGAATATTTTCACGAATATGTTCGCCACCACAGAAACATAACTAAATATATTGTATTTATTGTATTTTTATGATTTATGACAAAACTACGCAAATATTTATTGTTTTTATTATAAATCATAAAAATACAATAA